TATCCAGTGTGTGTAGCCCATAGATATATACATTAGATGTCGCCTGGCCTATTGTTGTCTATTGGACGGAATGCGTCAATAACGCCGCCATCTTGCATCAGTGTAGCGCTCCTTTGAAATTAATGCGGGACCAAGCTGCAGTGGAGAACTGTGGCCATCAAGAGCCGGAGATATACACACATACACATATATCTATGATCGGGAGTTTTCCTGGATGTTAGTAGGCTATGTAAATTTTTTTTTTCTAATCACGAAAATTATAGTTTCACATCACTTTTCTACATTGATGGATCAGTGATTACACGGGTATTCCTGACAAAAAGCTTGTGTTTGTGTGTACAGAAATGTACTATTCACCCTCCCTGCTAAATTTAATCTAATCCGTATCCTGAAACACACCTGCTCTCCTGCTTTCACTTCTCATACTGACGGAGGGAGTGATTCGTTTTTGAATGAATCTTCGTTATGAACGACTCGTCCACTAGCCGACAATAATACATTCTGGCAGCGCAGCTTCTCGTTGTCATATTTCTTTTGCATTGTTTGCTGATTTTATTAAACAAAACTAGCATAAGCCGAGTGTTTAGTGCGAGTTGGAGCTGCTTTGCCGTATGGTAACTGTTATCATCAATTAACGCTACCTGATTAGCACAAAAGTTCAGAACATACAAAAACAGAAAACACTTAATCTTACCTATGAAATGTTCCACCTTTGTGCTTTGTTTTTCTTGTTTGCTCGTTACTACACCCGTAGACAGCGCTAAAATCCCGCATCTTCACGTAATTACACTGTCTGTGCGGTTGAATGACATTTGTCCTGGGAGCACTGTACCAATGTGGCGGCGCTATTGACGCATGCTCAGGGTCCCGATGCGATATCTAGTGTATATATCTATGTGTGTAGCCAACTAGTTCCAGGAGGAAATATTAAGAATTAACCATAATTAATTATTATAAATTATAATATTTAGATGAGCTCTACGCTTTTACTTGTTATCTTTGGATCAAGTGTTCATTCATTTTAATGTTTTTTTCTGGGTCATATGAAATAACCTTTTTAAATTGAAAAACCAACAGAGCACACTTGGCATGATTAGGGACACTAGTTATAAGCAAATAATGTGCAACATCAAGTGTGATACAAATAAGGCTTTACTAACTACAATAAACAGTTAAACTAATCTAACATACACACATTCAGTTGGTATAGGAAAAGGCAGTAAATTGTAAAGAAGAAAATCATGTTATAGCAGAATTTGATATTCAGCAGATCTACAGCCTGAAGGAAACATCATTTTCATAACTCAAGCAGCTTTGCAGAAAGGTTTAGATCAGTGGTTCTCAAAAATTTTTCATTAAGTACCACCTCAGAAAAAAATTGTCTCTCCAAGTACCACCAAAATGAGCAGTATTGAAATACAGTAAGCGCAGTAGACCCAGTAAAGCAGCTATAACTCTGCACAGTAAAACAAACGTGGCAGATTACCTCAGAAATATAGGCTATATGTCATATATGGCACATTATATACATAATTTTTAATACATTTTGAAATTGTAGGAAAGTCCTATACAGGGTTGCAGTTCTTATGAGTATACCCTAGATGGAGCACCTCTCTAATCTGACCGACATTCACTACTTTCGCTTTCAAGAGCAAGCACATGGCAAAAATCACTTGTGAGGCACGATGAGAAGGCAAACATCTATCCTGTGTGCGTTCATGCCAAGAAAGTAAGTTTATTTACTGATTCCCACCAAAAATATGGGTAATACTTATGTTAATACTGTTGTAACAATATCTGTAATGTTGTATTTCACCTTTAATGCATATATTTGCATAATCTTATGTTATATGTTAATCTGTGTTGGGAAGCTAATATGCTAGTCCAAACTATTTATGCCATAGTATGTCTCCTTGTTGGATTAATGTTTATATTTTGACACATGGTGTAATGTTGAGTCATTTCTAAACACTACAGTTTGACAGTGAATTTATTCCTACACCTAAAGATTATTTTCTGTTGTAATCTGAATGGAAATGTTTGACTGTTATTTGTTAATTGCTAAACCTGTAATATTTTTTTGATACTTAATTTGTTCTATTTTATGTTTCAGACCACACACACACACACGCACTCACACCAGATGTGTTTTCCTCACATCCCCTCTGTACCTATAACAACAACGGTAATCTGTACCATTATACCGACTCATTAAAGCTATTTTTGGATGAAACTCTCCGAGCCCTTTACTCTCTTACCGGAGTCTCCAGTTTTCAAGGACTATCAGAACATTCCAGAGGTTCCACCTCAACAGAAATATATGTAGCATGTACATGACATTTTTCATTCCTCCGTGTACCACTAGAAGGAAGCCCGCGTACCACTAGTGGTACATGTACCACAGTTTGAGAACCACTGGTTTAGATGATTCTTAATGTATCTGTTACATAGACTACATTTGTGTCAATGGTGCTCTTTTTGACTTTCAGTATTGTTCCACCGGGTCCCCTCAGGTTTGCTTCCTGGAGTGATAGACTTTCTCTTCATTCATTCATTCATTCATTCATTCATTTTCTTTTCAGCCTAGTCCCTTTATTAATCCGGGCTCGCCACAGTGAAATGAGCCGCCAACTTATCCTAGTATGTTTAGACGCAGCGGATGCCCTTCCAGCCACAACCCATCACTGGGAAACATCCACACATACATTCATTCACACTCGTACACTAGAGACAATTTAGCCTACCCAGTTCACCTGTACCGCATGTCTTTGGACTGTGGAGGACACCCACACGAACGCAGGGAGAACATGCAAACTCCACACAGAAACGCCAACTGACCCAGCTGAGGTTCAAACCAGTGACCTTCTTGCTGTGAGGCAACAGTACTACATACTGCACCACTGCGTCGTCGACTTTCTCTTCAGTTGAATGTAAATAAAACCGAAGACATAGTGATAGATTACAGTAAAGGTTCTCCTACTGGCAGCATAACAAATTTTAAAGGCTTGGACATTGAAATTGTTGACATAAATATCTAGGGGTCGTTATTGACAATATGTTGACATTATAACCTAACACCCAAGCTCTCTATAAAAAAAATTCAACAAAGACAGTTTTTTAAAGGAAACATATCATTTCAGGTTTGTACCTATGATGACACTGTTTTATAAACAATTTATTGAATCTTTCTTATCTTTTTGCATTGTAGCTTGGTATGGTAATCTGAGTGTGTTAAATAAGAACAGGCTGGTGAAGGTGGTGGGCAAGATCATCGGTTTTTAACCAAACTGGTCCAATTGTAATTTACCATAATTATGTTTTTAAAAAGAGTTCAGGGTATTCTATGCACCCCGGATCACCCATTGTACTCAGTGTTTCAGCTGCTGCCATCAGGTTGTCGTTTACGAGTTCCTGTTTGCAGGACAAATAAAATTAGAAATTCTTTTTTTAATGATGGCCATTAAGTCATTATATGAGTCCAAGCGGGAGGGAGATGCACCTACAAAATTATGTGCTATATGTTGTGTGGTAATATTTTGTTTATGTGTACATGTAACTTTGCATGTGTTAGGGCGCCTTGCTGCAGTTTTAGTTTCCCTAAACAGAATAATAAAGTTGAGTATGAGTCTGATACTTGCACTCCCCATTTGAAAAGAGTGCTGATGCATTTTGTTGAGGCTCTAGTTGATTTTTGCTGAAGTTAGTTGATGAGAGATAACCAGTCTGGAGATCTTTGATGAATGGAAAGACAAGACCTTTCCATTAATTACACTTATTTTTCAAAGGGAAGTTTTACAATCCTTTGTCCCTATAAGCTTGGTGATTTGCATATGCAGGAATAGTAACGAGATTAGATTGAAATTATGTGGTCATGAATAAGAATGAAATGAAATACTGGCGACGCAGTGGCGCAGTGGGTAGCACGTTCGCCTGACAGCAAGAACGTTGCAGGGTTGCTGGTTCGAACCTCTGCTCAGTTGGCGTTTATGTGTGGAGTTTGCATGTTCCCCCTCAGTCCAAAAGCATGCGGTACAGGTGAATTGGGTAGGCTAAAACTGTCCGCAGTGTATGAGTGTATGTGAATGTTTCCCAGACATGGGTTGCGGCGGGAAGGGCATCCGCTGCGTAAAAAAAAACTTGCTGGATAAGTTGGCGGTTCAATCCGCTGTGGCGAGCCCAGATTAACAAAGGGACTAAGCCGACAAGAAAATGAATGAATGAATGAAATACTTTTAAAACACTAACTTTCCTTAGACCTAGTCCCTGGTTATCAGGGGTTGCCACAGTGGGACTTGAACCAGCAACCTTTTTGCTGTGAGGCAACAGCGCTAACCACTGAGCAACCTTTTTTTTTTTTTTTTTGCTTAACCTAAATCAAGGAATGCCTTTTTTAAGCTCTCAGCCAGTCTCATTGCTTTTTTCTGTTTTCGCTGCTTTCTGTCCTCTAATGCACAGCACAACAACTAAACTTCCATATAAATGAGTTAGAAATCAGAAATTTCCTCTTTCAAATGAACATAGAGTAGTTTTTCTAAATTACCTCTTTCATGCTGTATAATAGTGTTGAATACTGGCTTCCATGACATAAGATGCATTCATAACATTTTATATTGTATGCCTTTTAAGAATCCTGATAATAGTAGCCACAAACATTTGGAAACATGCAGACTGTAAAAAAAGTGAAATAAGATTGAACAGAACCTATTATCTTTATTTGAATGCCATACATTTGTATCCACTTTTGAACAGCAGGAAGAAACAAACAATTAGAGGTTTTAGATCTAGCAGAAGCTCATTAAATAATTAATATTAGAGGCTGATTTTCTGTTTCAGTTCCAAACACCACGACCACATATTTATTAATTACAGATCAATATAGAGGATATATAGTATATGCTAAAGAAAAACATTCAAGCCAATAATTGCTTTTCCAACATTCAGCTGTAAACCACTGTGGTATGTCCTGGAGAGAAGGATAGAGTGGTGGTGTTTTTAGGTTTTCAGCGATAAAAGAGAAGTACAGCTGCTTCAGTTATCTTTTTGGATGCACTCCATCCTGCATTAGTGCCATAACCATCCCAGTCAAAACCCGCAAAGTCCCCACACTGTCTAGGGGATGCCTCAGGAAAATATCCACCACCGCCAATACAAATCTGCAGGAATATAAATGATAAAAATTCAACTTTTAAAAATATATTGGTGTAGTAAATGTACATTTTTAATGTATTACTGTAAATGTACTTCAGTTTCTATGCTCTACATTATGAAATATTGACATTGGTGAGTACCACTGTTACATTCTCCAGCTGGAATGCCTACGAGCTCCACTAAAGGGCATCATATTGAGAGGGGTCTGGATGCAGACCTGGTGCAGTGCAATCTGGGCTGCATCCAATGCTTTTTAATGGGCTCAACCCCACTCTTCACAGTGACGTCACTAGCTCCATTTGAGTGCATTGTGTCTGACATCTCAGCTTGCATCAAGCTCAGCTTGTATCATAAAGGCTGCATCCAAATAGTATTGATAATATTCTACAGTCTTACACTGCAGGGGTCTCATTTATAAACGAGGCGTGCACACAAAACAGATGGGCAAATAAGCACTACGCACACCTTCACTCAGTCTTGTATCATGGTACAGTATGTGTATTTCTTAACCATTCTTTGTTACCCAAATTGTTTGAAGAACAACCATCATGTCACAAATACTGTCTATATATTGATTTAAATAATCAAGAATAGTCTTAACTCACATGTTCAGAGTTACAGCCAGTCGGTTTAACACCTGAGCAAAGAGCCAAGGCTGCTTTTTCAGTATTGAAGACTCTGAATGTGATGTATCCAGGTGCAAAGTTTGCTTGAAAAACAATCATTAAATTAAATACATCTCAACATTGATGATGCTTTATAAAAAAAATATACATCACTGAATCACATTCACTGTTACATGGCAAAAAAAATATTGGATCGAGGTGTAGCCATACTTCTTGTATTGGGACCATACAGTAATTTGGTAGACTCTGTATTTCCAGTATCATACACGATTGGGACAGCAGGTCCGTTATCGATGTTGCATGACCCTAATCCATACTTCAGAGGGTATTTCTATGAGGTGAGAATAAAAATAATTTAATAACAATTTGCCTGTATTTTTGACAAATAGTTTTGTCAAATCTTAGCAAAACTCATAACTGGTATTTATCTGACCTTGAATAAACTGAAAAGGTTTCCTCCATGTTGTGTAAGGAAGCGATTTTCAGTGTGGTATCTCAGGAAGGAAGCAGTGGCCCAATTTTCCAACTCACTGTTATTAGGAACGTGCCACACAGATACATCCTGAGCCGCAATATCGAAGTATCCAGGATTCTGTTACAGAAAGAAAATGGACCATTATTTTGATTGTTACTCTAGTGTCTTCATTTTTTTATTATAGTACAGGGGCTGTTGACAACTTGGCTATTTGAATGGCTATGAACATTTTTAGTTGGGCATTTATTTTCAGAAAAACACACCGTTAAATAGTTTCAGGCCAGTCTTGACCGCATTACAGTTTCATATCACTACACTGAATAATGTCAGATATTTCACAGCCTACAACATCCAAATATAGAACAAAATAAAAGACTTTGGATAAAATGTCATTAAGTTTGATAACCAACTTTGCAATGACCAAATCACTACCTCTAGTGTTTAATATAATTCATTGGCTCAATGGTTATTCTTTACTTTTTATTAGCGAAAAGTAATAATAATGTATACCTTATAATCGTCACTTGTAGAAGCCTCCACACTTCCAAATGTGACTGTATTAGCCCATGTCCCTTCACCATTAGGCCTGTTTGGGTCATTGCCCTGCTCGCTAGACCAGCGGTCACCAACTGTACACTTTCCGTACATGTTGTTTTCATGAACACTGGCCACCAGCGTCCAGCCGCCGCCTGCAGTGGTCATGTCACAGTATGTCTGGTAAAGGACTCCTTTTGAGGAGATCAGGTAGTACAGGCCATCTGTGTGAACAAAACATTCTTCGGATTAATTTTGCGATTACTTATATTTAAAAATCTCTTGCTTTCTTTCTTTCTTTCTTTCTTTATATATATATATATATATATATATATATATATATATATATATATATATATATATATATATATATATATATATATATATATACATATGAGCAATGACACATGAGTAGCAGTGCGAAATGGCTGCATATCGGCACTGGTAGGAGGCGTGCGTTTGCCCCAGGCCGAGTGCCTTAGTGCCCCCACCAGTGCCGTTATACAGCCATATCACACTGCTATGAGTGTGATATTGCATTTATACAACAGTTTGACAGCATAATTATGTATATAAAAACAAAATCAAACATGGAGACTCTCAAAAACCCTTTTGTATGAGGAACTACTGAATTCAAATTAAAAGCTGACAGTTAAACAGCTGAGCAAGCATCTTTTAAACGACACTTTAGATCTGTAGTGTCTGCTTGTTGCTGGCTGAATGTGGGCGGAGTAATTCACAAAGGGTAAAGAGGCTGCAGGGGTGCTGATATTACTTAAATATATCACGGCTATCAGCCAATCAGATTCGAGAACCAGACAGAACTGTTGTATAAATATATATATCCATCATAATGAACATACCATCATAAACCTTATACTTGTCACGAATTTCTTTGCAGCTGCTTGCAGCATAATTTGCAAATATTTCAGCATATTTAATCCTGCCCTGAAGTTTTGCTATTCCAAGATTGGGGCTGGCTTCTCCATTTGTCTTGCATGGTATTTCTTGGTCATCCACTGGAATGAGACAATAAAGACATAAATTTTAAAATCTTAAAATAAATTTGTTTCAGTGAAAGAATATTAATAAAGATTACTTACAAAATACAATACTTGCAGCCTCACAGAGCAATAAATTAAATGAAAGACTGAGAAGGATCCTGAAAAACATTTTTTTCCAAGGAGGACAATCTGTGAATGAAAAGAGAAAAGTTATTCATAGCTGCATCAACACTGCAAACGGAAATTACCCTTCTTCCTTCAGCGTTTTTGTGAAAGATTATTTTTCTTTTTTTAATTATTATTTTACATTTTCACAATTGTAGAATGCAAGAATTCTTACATATTTGTTTCTTTTGTCCTTGTCGTGAGTTCCTTTCCTTTGAGTTAGCGAGATCTTTCGATGCTTCTGGTTTTTGGATCAATCCAAGAATAAAATTAAGAAGCTTGGTGTAGCCTATTTATACTTAATCAGGAGTGAGATATAAAAAAAGATCTGAAACTCTCATCTTATATTAAGCCAAGATTAAAGCCTATTAAATAAACATATGAAGAACATGCGTCATAGAATGAGTGAAATAAGGATTCTGTTGACCTAGAGATCATTGTACTATAAAAAACACACTGAACTTAAAGCATACTCAAATCTTTATCAGGGTGTGGATTTTTGGCTGTAGTTCACAGGTATAAAAGTTCATTGTTAGTTGTCACTCAAACATCTTTCTGTTAAACAATTCATTTGTATGATCAACAAGACTTTTTTGCACAATGTACTGTATGTGGGGAAATCTTGGCATAATGGAAAATTCTTGATTGTGTGGAGTTCTGTTAAAATGACTGGATTTCTCCATGAAAAAAAAAAAAATAAAATAGCTAAATATGACACACACACACCCAATAAATGACATTTGCTCTTTGATCAAACTATTTATTTAAAATGAGATGAAACACCACAATTCTTGATTCTTTAATTTTTGGGGACAGTCTAATAGTTTTTTGTTCACTTAATTAAAATTTGTAAAAACAAATAAATGTATTTAATTATTTACATTCAGCTTAATCTCTTATTTATCAAGGGTTGCCACAGAGGAATGAACCACCAACTATTGCAGTACATGTTTTACACAACGGATGCCCTTTCAGCCATAACCCAGAACACAATTACATTTACACATACACATACACATACACACACACACACACACACACACACACACACACACACACACACACACTCATGTGGGGGCAGAACATGCAAACTCTAGAAATGCCAACTGGCCCAGCCAGGACTGGAACCAGCAATCTTGCTGTGATGTGACAGTGCTAACCACTGACCCGAAAAAAGAACAAGTTAACCTAATTCCTTCATGTTATCCCAACACAAATCAGTTTTGTGGAAACCATTTTTTTACAGTGCAGTTTTAGCCCCAAAACAGCTTTTATCGAATTCAAGCTGATACATTTAATAGTCCTTGATTTAAGTGATAGTTTATCAAAAACAGAAAATGTACTCATTATTTACTCTCCCTCAACTAATTCCAAACCTTTATGAGATTTTTTCTTTTGTTAAACCCTAAAGAAAATTGTTTGGAAAATGTTGGAAACCTGTAACCATTGATTTTCATAGTAGGCTAGTTAAAACAAATATGAAGGTCAATGGTTATCATCAATTTTTAAAAAGACTAATATTGTGTTTAACAGAGTAACAGAGGGTTTAACATGGTTGAGTAAATGATGACAGATTTTTTGTGTGTGTGAACTATCCCTTAAGCAAAGCACTGAATCATCAAGTATCACAAAGATGATGAAAGATAGAATTGCAATGGTTTGATTGATGCCACTAGAACCGAGAAGTAACGTGCCTCAGGGTAACAGTGTGCCAAAACACACAAATGCATTCTTGGCAATTTGAGAGCCTGTGTACGTGGCAGGTACACCTGTGAAAAGCCTCACGTGCCCAGATATTGTGATATGCTGAGGAAATACAATTAAAGTTAGTTTAATTATGTATAAAGTGTTTATTGATATACAAACTTGTATGTATTTTGCTTTTTAACTTCTTTATAGCCACATTAAACGCACAATTAAGCAGAAACTGAGAAGTTTTTTTTTAAATCGAAGAGTATAAAATTGTGCAAAAGGTTTTGTAAACACGACAATTAAATGTATCATAATGGTTCATAATAAATTCTTCCCACACTCGCACTTAAATACTTGAGCCACAGAAATAACTAGCCTGATCTCACGAGGAAACGTTATGTTTTGGTACCAGCCTTCATGTAAGTAACCAATAATCAAGAGCAAGGAGAAGTGTGACTTGTGTATTTCCAAACGCTGAAAACCCACAACCCTATACTTTCAGTCTCCCAACTACTAACACATTCACTGCTAAGTTTTATATATATGTGTATATATATATATATATATATATATATATATATATATATATATATATATATATATATATATATATATATATATATATATATATATATATTTATATATATATAAAGTTTTACTGGTTAATTAAACTAAAACTCATTAGGAACTTTTGTTGATAAGTTACTTTTTAGAGCAGGAACCACGTGACTGAGTTGCGGCGGTTAGACTGTATTTAAATATGCAACGTTTATCTCGATGTTTATCTCGTTGGCACAACGAGCTGTTATTAAACGATATGATAATTATTATTTCTTCTTTGCTTTTAATTTTTCTCAAAATTTAAACAGAAAGTAAAATAAAAACGCCGAAACAAAAATGCCAGAGGGGAAACCAACAAACCGGTGAGAATTAAGAGCTGAATCAGCAACAGCTAAATTAAGTTAACGCTAACGTTAGTCCAAAGTGACAAATTGAAGAGTTGATAGTTACTGATATTTAAACTGACACGATGATATTGTTACCTGGTGTAGTGGACTATTCCCTCAGCATACATTAACTATAATTTATTTATTAATTTTTTTATATAACATCCCTAACGTTAACGTTACTCAACTGTAGTCTAGCGTAGTAAGAAGTGTCTGTCGAACAAAATATTAGGCCTAAATAGGATTTAACTATACATATACAAATAAAAACCTACAAGTAAAATCAGAATTAATTGTTCAATTGTGATTTTGTGTACAAGAAAAAGAACCATTTGGAATTAGTTTTTCCATTACAGGACATATCTACAGTAATATCTACTTAGGATTACTTCAATAGATGCGTTGGATGTGCTGCAGAGATATAATATTTAATAATAACATTTTGTAAAATAAAGAAACCAAACTTATCATTTTATATTTTTCTGTAGTTGAACCTCATATAATAAACTAGTAATTATAAAATAAATCACTGGAAATTTGTAATGTTTTGCTTAAAATATCAAAAATGTACGTAACGTTAATGTTTTTTTTAGGAATAACCAATGTGGCCCGATGCTGACTGTAATAGGCACCTGCCACAAGAGGGCAGTACATTTACTTGAATTGTTTCTTCAAAAATCTTCAACTGGAGATTTTCCAAGCTACTTCCTCTTGCTGACAAACTGGTATGTATTTGTGTTAACAGGCTTTTAAATTTCATAACCAAGTCCCAATGCACTTTAGCAGAAATAAATTTGTCGTGTCAAATGGCATGATCTTGTGTATTTGTCATTTTAGTCGTAGGTATTTTGTAACAGTGTTGACACTATAGACCACTGGCATACACACACCGTGTCGACATTCTGACCCTCGGTTATTGTAATAGAGACCTCCTGGTCAACTACACTGCTATGATCACAATTTGAAAGAGCATGAATAATAGATAGTGTGCACTGCTGTGTGTTTTTGGAAGGAGGATGGTAGTAAATCATCACACATGACAGTTTTTAATCTTCCAGATTAATGTCATTCTTCAAGATGCAAGGAGGAAAGAGTGATTAGTGTGCTTGACTTTGTCATTGCTCCTTTCCTTTATTGTTCTTCTCTCATATCTACATTTTCTTTTCTGAAAGCTCCAAAACGCTTTATTATACAAAAAGTATCTGTGACGTTTCAGTATATATAGTATATACACACACACACACACACACATATATATATATATATATATATATATATATATATATATATATATATATATATATATATATGTGTGTGTGTGTGTATGTATGTATGTTAGGGCTGCACAATATATCGCTTCAGCATCAATTTCACAATGTGATCATACGTAATAGTCACAGGATATGCAATGTAGAGTTTGTATCATAATTTATCATTTGCATGTAAGTTTTATGCCTGTGATTGTATAATGATTCATTCAGGTATAATAAATTCTACCATTTGTGACCCTAACTATAGTTCATTTTATTTAATTATTAAAATTTTTATAATTTAATTACTGTACTTGAATACTGTTAGACAATATGAATTTCTCACATTTATCTGTTTCTAACTTGATTTTGTAAGATATTAATTAATTTTTTTAATGAATTTTAGAATGCATATTTTAATTAAACCTATTCAGATGCAGCTTATTTAAAAAAGCATGCTTTTTAAAGCCAAAAAGTTTGTGTTATAAATTAAATGCTGAATCTTAATATTTCTTCATACACTCACCGGCCACTTTATTAGGTTCACCTGTCCAACTGCTCGTTAACAAAAATTTCTAATCAGCCAATCACATGGCAGCAACTCAATGCATTTAGGCATGAAGACATGGGCTGAGTCCAAAACCGCCTACTACTCAGTAGGTACTGCATTTAATTTAAACGTATTACTCGGCCGTTAGAAAAGTACGTTCTATACAGTATGAACGTGAAAAGTATGAATGGAATTCGCACGTACTACATCTGCCATTTTGTCATGGTCATGTGACCTACCTGCATCAATTGCGTCGCTTTACTCCCATTCATGAATTGCATGGGATGCGCACTCTAGAATCTCGCCGGAAGTAGTAAGTCATTCGGGTACTTCTCGTATACTGATTTTCAAATTCTAAGAATTTGGACATTCTACTCGGCTCGCATAATGATTTTAGCGTACCATATAGTATGGAAGTATGTGGTTTCGGACGCAGCCATGGGCTGTTTCTCAATATGCGTTCTTCAGCGGTCTTGCGTCCTCGTGTTCTTGTGAAACGTGTTCAGTAGCTGCCTAAGTTCAGTTCCAATACTCAACACTGCAAGTACGGAGGACACATGAATCTTCCCGGATGTGATTTTGATATCAAAGATGTACAGATGCAGACTTGAGTACCGAACTCGCTCTGGAAGTCCCAGTAGTCATTGCGGCCTGAGGTGGGAAGCGCTGCGTTTAATTTAGATTTATTATTAAAGTTCAGAGATATCATTTATTTATCTCAGGAGTTTTCCTAAATAAAATGGTGACAGTAAACATTTCCATGAACATCTTAATTAAGGAATAAATACATGTGTTTGTTTGCTGAAATTCATATTAAAATAGGTTTTATTTATATTGTGCATAGTATATTTAGAATGTTTTTATGCAAAGTATATATTTTAAAAAATGGAAAACAATAAATCGTTGCATGAATGGTGCACTGTTTAAATAATTTACCATTTAAAAAGTGTGAGGGTCATGTGACCATCAGGAAGAACGCAGCATCTCATTTCTTAAAGGACGCATTCTCTGCCCTGGCGGTCTCCTGAGATCGTTCTTCTGAGGACACCTGGCAAGACCGGTCTCCAGAAGAACGCAAGTCCGTTCTCTGCGTTCTTGGAATTGAGAAACAGCCATGGTCAAGACGATCTGTGGCAGTTCAAACTGAGCATTAGAATGAGGAAGAGAGGTGATTTACATGATTTTGAACATGACATGGTTGTTGGTGCCATACAGGCTGGTCTGAGTATTTCAGAAACTGCTGATCTACTGGGATTTTCACGCACAACCATCTCTAGGGTTTACAGGGAATGGTCTGAAGAAGAGAAAATATCCAATGAGCGCCAGTTCTGTGGGCACAAATGCCTTGTTAATGTCAAAGGTTAGAGGAAAAGGGCCAGACTGGTTCGAGCTGATAGATAGGCTGCATTAACTCAAATAACCACTCGTTATAACCGAGGTATGCAGAACAGCATGTCTGAATGCACAGCACGTCCAACCTTTAGGCAGATGGACTACAGCAGCAGAAGACCACACCGAGTGCCACTCCTGTCAACTAAAAACAGGAAACTGAGGCTACAATTTGCACAGGCTCACCAAAATTGGACAATAGAGGATTGGAAAAACGTTGCCTGGTCTGATAAGTCTCGATATCTGCTGTGACATTCGGATGGTAGGGTCAGAATTTGGTATCAACAACAAGAAAGCATGGTTCTATCCTGTCTTGTATCATTGATTCATGCTGGTATTGGTGGTGTAATGATGTGAGGGATATTTTCTGAGCGCACTTTGGGCCCATTAGTACCAATTGAGCATTGTGTCAAGGCCACAGCCTACTGAGTATTGTTGCTGACCATTGTGGTCCATTTCTTTATGACCACAGCATCTCCTGTGGTCCATCTCCTGATGGCTACTTCCAGCAGAATAACGCGCCATGTCATTAAGCGTGAATCATCTCGGACTGGTTTCTTAAACATGGCAATGAGTTCATTGTATTAAAATCATCTCCACAGTCACCAGAGCTCAATCCAATAGAGCACCTTTGGGATGTGGTGGAATGGGTGATTTGCATCATGGATGTGCAGCCAACAAATTTGCAGTAACTGCGAGATGCTATCGTGTCAATATGGACCAAAATCTCTGAGGAATATTTCCAGTACCTTGTTGAATCTATGCCACGAAGGATTAGGGCAGTTCTGCAGGTAAAAGTGGGTCCAACCCGTTACTAGTAAGGTGTACCTAATAAAGTGGCCGTTGAGTTTATATACTTTGTATGTGTTTCAGATTCAATAACTAGAAAAAAATATTGTTTTGAATATTATTTCTGTAGACGAAATTAAACAGACATGCATACACTCCTTTAATATTTAAATCTAACATAATTTATACATGTATGTGTGTGTTTAGTTTTCACTTTATCATTACATAAAACTCATTCATCTAATATTTCTTTCTAAATGATACTGAATTAGTTTTCGTGCAAATGACTCTTGTTTTCTGCAGCTACAGGCTATTGCTGAGGGCTGGCATCTATAAACGCCCGCCAGCACACCCTCGCAGACCTAAACACATATTTGTATTACAAAGCAAACTCAATTGTGCCATGGAGCAACCCTGATCAATCAGTCATGTGCTCAAAGACAAACCCAATCATAAAGGCACAACACATTCACACAAACGCAGCACTTCTAATG